TATTTTCCTATTCTCTTTGTCAGCAATATGAAGTATTTAGCTTTCTTGATTGCTTTTTCTAGCACTATGATCCAGAGTGTGTATGATGTATAAACTCTTCAAGTAAAAAGAACTTTTTATCTCTGCACAAATATAACTTTTGGCTCCACTAAGATTCCAGGTTCATTCCAAATGTGCTTTGCCCTGTTAACCCTGCAGATTGCTTTAGGTCCCGTTAGTGCTATGCTTTGAAAACAGCATAACAAAAAAAAAAAAAAAAAATTAAAAGCCTTTAAAAACCCTCCAAAAACTTACACAGCAGGAGATGAAGAACACACAAGAAACCATCTTCTTACAAAGTAGAATTCCTGGGTGCAGAGATACTTACTGGATATTAATGGTTGTTTTGGCATCAGTGAAGGTTTCCAGTGCTAAATGAGAAGACATTCCTATACCAAGCAGCTGTTTAAGACTTACTGATACTCATCGACCAAATCAGATGCTTCTCATGTGTGCACTGACTATTGTATTGCAGCAACAATACAGCCTTAATATTTTTAGATCCTACAGTCAGAACAAATGTAACAAATGTGGCATTTGAAACATTCCATGTCATACAAAATTTAAATTTACATACATATCTACATGGATAGCTGAAGAACTTTTGTTATCTAAGTTAAACACTTTTCCCAGCAATTTGAATTGAAATCAAAAGCACAATTCATGACCTACATTATTAAAAAAATGCTTTATTTATTACTTTCAGCTTGAGACTTCAGTTACTGCCCTTGCTCTAAAATAAAGTCATTATGGGCTTCATTCCTATCTGGACCATAAAGCAAGACTAAAATTGCCCATGTAGCTTTTCATCACAGCAATAGATAAAACCCATGACACACTACCACTTCCAAAGGATGCATTAACAAAACTGCACTCATTCTAACAAGGTTTGTTGGTACACACTAATAAATTCAACAAATGTACAATATCGGGCGTGATTTTAAATATACAGGATGCCAAAGAAAACAATTGCACTACATTCACAAACAGTTCACAAAAATACCAGTAATATTACTGGTGAACTTTTTAAAAACTTTTCAAAGCTATTATATATGTACACTATTCTTTTGAAAACTATTACAGAAATACTCTGAAACCTTCACATACACTTATTCAATTTTTTTTTCTTAATACTGGCAATCTTCAGAGCTCCTGGTAAGTTTAACTTGGCATTCTTCTCATGCAGAGATTTTCTCCCATGTCAGCCTGTCATATTTTCAGCAGCCTAGAAGCAGAAAAAAAATTAACCCAAGTCACCAAAAGAGACATCATGTAGATTAAATTTAATCTTTTTTTGTAACTTTTTAAAATTACCTAGAGAACTTAGGGGTCTAAAAAAAAAGCTACTTAGGAATTTTTTTCCTAATGAACACTACTTTTTCCTAAAAAATAATGCTCTCAGCTGCCATCACCCCTTACTAGAAGAGCCACTGCTGTTTGCTTGTCTTACATCCTGTATCTGAGCCTATCTTACATCCTTTTATCTTGTACATTTCCTCCTAATACTTCCAAGAAAGGCTCAAATGCACAAATATAGTTACCTCTGGAGTTTACTTCATATAATTTATGGTAATTATTACCTCATCCATGTAGATTAGTTATTGACACAAAACTCAGATGAACGACACTAATCATAACTGCATAAATCACACTACCAATTATTTGATTAACAATATTAGTGTTTTTATCACTGAATAACTACAGTCAACAAAGCACAGTTATTGAAGAATGACAGTGGCAGATTTTATACCAGTTATGGGACAAAAAGGCAAAAGAGAGCAACAGGAATGGGAAACCAGTGAAAGCAATGGAAGAAGTAAAACAGCCCTCAATTGTTTGTATACACAGTTAAATGCATATGTAAGACACATTTAAGTACAGACACAAATACAAAATATGCATGAGCATAGAAAAATGTTAAGTTAAAAATAAAGTCTGAAATCTTCCAGAATAGAAGCAAGATATAGGTTTCCCCTTTCACCTGTCAAAAATAGCCAAATATAAGATGCAGTAGTAAAAAATCCTGTCTGTGATGTTTAGGTAGACAGTAAAGAATGAAAATCCTTTAAAATGCAAGTGAGGTTTTTTTTTTTTAACCATCTACTAGTTAAACAGGTAAATACACATATACAAAAAGCCCTATATATACACACATCACAAAATCCCTGCTTTCTGGTCTTGGGAAAGGTTGAAAACACAGGCTAAGGAGGTAAAAGCAATATGTTAAGATGATGTTAACAAGCTGCATGTACCTGCTCACAAGTACTGCTGCATACTCTTAAATCTGAGGTTTTAGTAATGAGGTGATACTCGTTAAAGGAGAAATCTATTTGTGATATTATGCAGGTAAGGGGACAAATGGTGACTATAATAAAAATTTGTGACTTTTGGTTGTGTTTTTTTTCTTCAGAAGTGTTAGTTTAATTATTTTATTTCTACAAAACAGGTTATTTCTAACATTTCTTGTTTCAAGTCCAGTTGTATTCATTGCCTCCTCTATCCAACAGCTAATTTGCTTGACTTAAAAATTAGTTATAACAAAGTACAATCTACAAACTGAAGTATAGCAAGTTGCATGTGCATCTGACTCTTAAAAACAAATTTATAAGCTTTTTGAACAAGAGCATTACCTTTAGAGCTTCTGTAGCCTTGCGCAGCTCTTTAATAACAGAAGATAAGGCTTCTGGATTTATCCCTTGTTCACAAAGTCGCACACAAATAGACAACGTCTCCATATCCAAGCCAGTGTTTAATATTCTTGAAATCTCAAACAGAACTGCAACAGAAAAAAAAATGAAAGCACTTTAGTTCCTACAGACTATGAAATTTCAATGATCAAGATTGTTCTTCATCAACATTTAGATACTACAGCACTTCTACAGTGTGAACATGGCAGATGTCCACTGCTGTTTGCAACAATAATTATGCTCAACCTTCTTAAGCTAAAAGCTACAGCTTCTAACATAAACACCATGCTTCCCTGGTTCTGGAAATTTAATACTGGATAACAGGTTTTAAAAAATTAAAAAAAAAAAAAGAAACTGAAAAATTCAACAATTAATATGCCTGTCAATTAGGTAAAAGATAGGCTATAAGAACACTCTGGGCTTTTGGACTCCAGACACTGATGAAGTCTTTTCTAGTCTTTAAGTGTTGAGGTAGTCTTTGGCAGAGAGATGTAGCAGTTTCTCCACAACAATTCTGAGCTCTTAACAACTTTGCAGACAACAACTGCTAAATCTCTGTATCTATCTTAAATAAAATATATACATAGTTACACAGAAAGTCTGGGCTCCTAAATCTGAAGATTAGTGAACTGTCCTTATCTGTTCTTAAAAGCCTTACTTTGTCTTTAAATCTGCCTGTTGTCCCTCCTGTCTAAAGCATTCCTGCAGAAGTGGAAAGAGGGAAGTTGTCAAGTACAGTTACTAGAACTTTTATTCTTTGTCCTTCCCAAAGAAGTCACTCTATCTGCACAAAATGGTTTTACTCTCTTGCAGCATCAGAGGAGCCATAGCGATCCTGCTAGTCCTACCTTGCCTCCAGTAGCAGGTCCAAACATGAAGATCACTGGCTGAAATGCTAATTTTTACACCAGCTCAACTCATGAAGGTCTGTACTAAAACACCCTTTTGTAACAGCAGCTATAACCTCAAAAGAAGGGAAGATGCTGAGAAAATAACAAATTCATAGCACTATCCCTTGAACATTCTACTGTGCCTCTACTCCCTCATTAGGGCATTTTCAGAGAAAGGCTCCACATTGAACAACCCTCAACAGACTGCCTGGCTGCTTTCCACCCTGCATATAAGCTTTTGGTATAGGCATTTTGTGGAATTCCAGAGTCTCACACTACACTGAGAAACAAAAGATGCCAGCTTTGATTCCTCACAGTCAGGCTGAAAGTGAGCACCCCAGCTTCACCCACCTGCTCACATTTCTCACGGCTTATCAATCTCTAAAGTATTTCCCAGTACCCCTTCTCTCACATTCCCCATCCCACAACAGTACCTGAGTTCAGGGTTTGTTTTTTTTCCATATCAGAATCTATTTTAGTTCTGCACCACTGACTACTTTTCCTCAAAGCTTTCACACTATATTGTAGTTCGGGTTGTTCTGAGGGCTTTTTTTTGCACTGTTCTTTGGTTTTACGACATGAGCCTCGAACAAGAACCAAACGTGGGGGTTCAGGTCAGTTCAGGCGCTGCCGCTGACACCGGCCCAGGGCTGCTCCCTCCTCTCTCACGTCATTTACATCAACCGTTACACATAACGAGAAACAACAGCAAATATATATGTGTACACACACACATATATAAATATATACAGACACCAAAAAACCCCTAGTATTCCATGCTAGCTACCTAGCTAAATTTCAAAAAGAAACAAAACCATGAAAAGGAAAAGCCACGTCAGGTCCAAAGACACTCGCTCGGCGGGGGCTCAGCTGTTTCACGAAGTAAAACAAAACCTGCCACGCGCTGCATCTTTGGGCAGCCGCAGTCCGCGCCCCTTCCCCCAAGAGAGGCGCCCGTGCAAGCGGCCCACGGCGGGGCCAGGCGCTGCCTCTCCCTCGCGTCCCGCCCGTCGCTATCCGGTGCTGTCACGCACCGTCCATGGTCTCCCTCACGGCGTTCAGGCTCGCGGCGTTGCTCGCCATGGCGACCCCGCCGCGCCCGGAAGCGGAACGCCGCGCGCACGCCCGGGCCCGCCAGCCCCACGTGACGGCCCGGCGCAGCGCGAGCGCGGCGGAGGCGGGCTTTCTTTGAATTCGTGCGGCGGCGGCGCTGCCGATTGGCCCGTTCGAGAGAGGGGGAGTCCTGCCATTGGCCCGACGGTGCACACCGCGCTCCGTGATTGGTCAGAGCCCGAAAAACAAGGCGGGGCTGGTTAAAGGGCCGCCCGGCGCGGCGGGGCGGGAGCGGCGGCGGCGGCGGCCGGATAACGGCGGCAGGTGGCTGTGCCCGCATACTCGGCATTCTCGGCTCTCCCAGCTCACCTGGCATCGCCTCCTCGGCGGCGGGGCTCGGGAGAGCGGCGAGAGGCTCGGCGCGGTGGCACCGTCCCGGGGAGAAGCGTGAGGAGGGGCTCAGCGGGGCCGCTTCCCCCGGGGTTCCCGTTCCCTTCGCGGCCGGGGCCCGGGAGGTGCCTTCTGCCCGAGCCCCGCGAGGCCCGGGGCTGCCCCGGCCCGTTGAGGCGGAGGGCGGGCGGTTTTAGCGCCTGGGACCCGCCCGGGGCGTTATTGCTGCCCCGGCCGCTGGGGCTGTTCGGTCACTTCTGGTGTTAGCTGGGTTTGTTTTTTTGTTTGTTTGTTTTTGGATTTTTGTCTCGTTTGCTTGTTGTTTTGCCCTTGTTTGGGTGTTTGCTTGGCCTTTCTTAATCCCTCTTTTCGTGTTCTTTCTTAACTCGTTTTCGTAGTTTCTGTTTCCTTGCAGTTATTCGTACCAGCCTTATTTATTAACTTTATGCCATTAGGTCCAATCCATAGCTAATTTCGTTTTTGAAATGTTGCTGGTTCCTTAAAATGATTAATTCTCTCTGCCCAAAGCCTTCAGGGTGGCCCTAAAATGTCAAAAGTGTGATTTCGTTGTTATCCCTAATTTTGCTCTCCCTGTTTTTCAGGTATAGCTTAGTGTTATGGGTGATACAGAAGAAGCTAAAATGCAGATAACGCCAGAAACTCCAGGACGAGTCACAATTCTGAACCCTTTTGAAAGTCCCAGTGATTATTACACTCTTCAGGAGCAGATTGTTTCCAGTCCTTCAGTCTTTAAGTCAACGAAATCCTCATCTGTAAGATCTAGTTGTTAGTTGTGTAACTATACAGATGTAGTGCTAATATTTTCAAATGCATTAAAAGGGGTATTTTGTTTAATGTACTTCGACATACGTACCAAGCTAAAGAGCTTTGGTGGCATTTGGAGTTCCTTCTCTTCACAGAACTGTGCTGCTTTTAAATATTAATATTGCCACTTAGTCTTCCTCCCTGCCTAAATTTATTTTGTCTTTAGATATTAGTGATTGAGTGCTAAAACCAGTAGAAAGTAGATAAGATTAGTTGTTGGATGTGGTACTCTGGTCCTACTTACAGCGCAGAATACCAGTTTCTACTTAGATGCTGAGTCGGCCAGTTGCAAAAAAAAAATTATGCAAATTGCACTTACGTTGTGAGCTGTTTGTGTACTCAAGTACTCAAGTCAATGATTTTGTGTATCTGTGACTGTTTTTTTATTGCAAATTACATACTAGTTTGCAGTTGAAATTATTTTCTGATAAGCAGTAGAGGTGAATCTACTAATGAAACTAAAAAGACTCACTTGGTAGGTACTACTCCAAATATATTTGAACAGTACTTTGTTAAATAAAGGCATGAAGCTTCTTATTTCTGAATTGGATTTTGCTGTGCCCTGTGTATGGCATTTATGAGGGAAGTGTTGCAGAATGTGTAGGCATTTGCAGCTCTGGTCTTAGAAATGGGAACTGAAAGGAAGACTGCTCTATTATTTGGATAACTTGGGTTAGGATATGAGTTTCTGTGGAGCCACAGTTTGGATTGAAGAAGCAATTTAAGTTCATCCCAAGTTATTTATCTTTAGTAGACCTGTCCATAGGAATTGAGAAGAAACTGACACCTTGGTTTGTGAGTACCAGCTGTAATCTTCCACTTCAGTATTACTACCAGCAGGATAAGAAGCCTGACTGACTTACTTTTTTTTAGAGTAGATCATTTAAATAGGAACACTTTTGATTGTTTTTGACAGAAACTATATGGAAGTTGTGATTGTATTGTTCCATTGAGATTTGTCCTGTGGTTTTATTTTTCTCTTTAGAATAGCAAGCATTAAGATGCCTGTTTCTTTCTTTAGACACCAGGAAAATTCAGATGGTCTATTGATCAGCTTGCTCTAATAAATCCTGTGGAAATAGACTCGGAGGACATTCGACGCCAAGGAATGTATTTGAGCCGTGCTAGGTAACTTACAATTTATTTTTATGCAGCTAACTTAGCTTTAATACTAGTATACTTGTTCTTATGCTTTATTAACATTTCAGCATAGCATTAAAGACTCTTTAATAAAATCTTCTTACACAATTTTTTACGTGATGATGATATAATATTTAGATGAGGCTACCTCTGTGTTGCTTCCTTTTAGTGTTAAGAGCTGCTGATTCACTCTGATTGGAGTTTGGAAGACAGCCAGATAAAAGCAGCTAGTGGAAGCTAGAAAATGTCTTGCCAGTGATCATTACCAGGCTACCTCTTCTGCTCCTTTTTACAACACAGTTTATCTTCTCAGAGTGCTCCATAGTGAGGTTTCTTTGGTCCTAGGGCTCCTGCAGAAGGGTAGACGTGCTGGGGAAACTAGCTGGGGAAGCCCCAGCAGTCTGTTTCAAAGGTATAGATTAATGTGAAGGAGGGGGCTCCAGTGCTAGTTACTTGAAATAGTTTGGGAACCTTACCTCAACTTTTTTTCCTTCTCTGAAATAACTTGCATGAGAAAAATGGGTGGGTAAAATGTCTTGGTATTTGGAATTTATCTTGAGGGATAATTTGACATGCAAGTGGTAGAGAGTGCCAAGTGAAAGTATCCAGGGAGAACCTTAATGGTGAACCCTGTAGACTCTCCTGTACATTTCTCAGATACAAACTTGCAGAAGGAACTGCTCCTCAAGGCATGAAGCACTGCAGGAATAGAGTAATGAACCTGTCCTGTCTAGATCAGATTGCTCAGTTGCATCCTTGATCTTGAATGTTTCCAGGGATGGGTCATCTACCACCTCTCCAAGCAACCTGTTCCAGTGTTTCAACACCCTCATCACAAAAACTTACTGGTTTTAGTGTCTGACTGAACCTACAGCTCTCTTTTTGAATAATAAAAGCTGTAGGACTATTACTGTCCCCAGCTGTATCTGTATCACCAGGTCTTAATGTTTCCTGTCCTTTCTCTAGCAGTCAGTAGGTTTCAGGCTAATGCTTTTTATATGTTTTAAAGCCTTAAGCCCAATGTTTTTAGGGAGTTAATTACATTGTTTCTGGAACCTTACTCAGATAAACTAGCTTTAATGGAGAAGACTTGGGTGACAGTTCCAGTGATGATGAGTGACATGGCCTATAGATATAAACATGCATTGTCTCAGTGGGTCCTTTCAGTCTGTCCCACTGTTTCATAATTACTGTGGTTCATTTTTTTTTAACTATCTGCTGTGACTAGAAAGAGGCTAGTTTGACTGTGTGTAGATTTGCTGTGTCCATGCTTGCATACGCATACATGAATCCACAGGGATTGTATGCTTGTTTTTTGGTATAATAATCTGCAAGAGTCTTCATAGATCTGTCACTTCAGCATCATGTAGGCAGATGTAGTTGAAGGTGGCATGTCCAAACATTGCAGATATATTCGAAGTCTGATAGGCATAAAAGAGAGAGCTGTGAGAGTTTATGTATTTGTCACATCTGTGTGTGCTTGTGTATCTAATAATATCTTGTTATCTGACTGATTTCTAAAATTATTCAAGGGTAATTCAGGTATATGAACTGTGAATGAAAGTATTAGGTGGTTCAGCTAAGAAAATGATGAACGTTTATAAGCTTCAAAAAATTTTACAGTAAATTACACTGTAGTAACTGAAAGTCAGGCTTGAAGGTGACCGTTAGAGGAAATATAAATAGAGAATCTCACACATCATGAAGTAACTACAATATTTTTTTAAAAACTAAGTTAAAAGCTGCATAAGGAAATATTGTCATTGTTAGAAACTGAAATATGGTAGAAACTGAAACTGAAGAAGCTGTGGCAGACTGGGTATTTGACTAGAGAGAACTCTGTGCTGGGAAAGTGGGCTGTGTCAGGAATGTGAGTGTGCAAATTCCAGGAGTGTTTTCAGTTACCTTTTAATTCCTTACAGCTCAGTTTTTTAGTCTGCTTGGTTTTATAGTGCAAGTCTAATCTCATGTGAATTTTAAGAGTAAAATATGTTCATATAAAATTATTCTGGAAGATCAGTTATGATTGAGTTTTTGTCCAGACATGCTGAGTAAGCAGAATATTTGCTATTATGTACTTTTAAATGGTACAAATATTTTTCAAATCAACTGAATTGAGAAGTGCATTTATATTTCTAAATTTATGTATGAGATCATTGCATGTAAGAGTAAAAACATCATCAGATTTAGGGTTTAGTGCAATTTAATTTATTAAGTTCCTCTTGAGCATCTATAAATTATTATATGGCTGGACTTTACATCTTTTCCTACTTACGTGATGGTTTTGATAATTGAGTTGTTTTTCATTTGTTACTTAGAATTGATAAGGAGACAGAAGACAGAAGGCAAAAAGCTATTGAGGAGGTAATAAAACTTCATGCTATCAAATATTGATTTGTCTACAGAAAAGATTCACGTCTTTTACAGGATTTCAAAACCCAGAAGCCTATTATATTCCAGTAAGAAAGTAATTTTGTGCCCTTATCCCTTGCAGTTGTAGCTGGGAATCCACACACTCCTTTTCTTCCCCTCTTCTTTCAGAACACATGTAGGTCAAAACAAGTGATTTTTTTCTTTTGTTTTTCTTGGCTAGTGGTAATGTGGCTGTAATAGAACTCTTACTAACTTCAGGTTAGAAACAATGATTGAGAATTTGGGGGTTTACAGTAACAGTTGGAGTGATACTGCATTTTTTGAAATATTGGAGAATTTGTGTGGGTTTGTTGTTTTTTGTTTTGTTTTTTTTTCATTCTTCCAAAGTCTGCTTTGTTGGATGGAAGACTTGATTCTGGTAGCTTGTATTTTCCCATCCATTTTTCATTTTGTTTTTCACTATTCATTTGGCTAGCAGAGAAGGAAAAATGAAATGTTAAAAATATTCACTGCAGAAATCTCCAATGTTGTTTTCAATAAAAAAAATAAGATAAGTCTGATAGGCAGGTCTATCAGTTTCTGTCTCTACAAACAAAAAATGTTTTATGGTTCTATAAAAGAGCTGTGTAGTTGACCTGCAGCTAAGATGCTCTGTTCTAAATTTGCATTAAAAGGGATGTTTCCTCTTTGTGAGGTATAACCTAATGGATTATGCAGCTGAACAGCTTGAAACCCTGTCTCTGATAAAAGTTATACCTTTAATAGCTGCATGCTTCAAGCTAAGTTTTTTTCATTTACTTTGAGTCTTGCATTTTTTTGAGAACAGGATTTGCCATGTGTTTCTTGAAGCTTTGTAGTAGTGTTTGTCTCCTTAGCATCAGGGTGTTTCTCAGTGCAACTGTGATGGTAGACAGTTTCTGGTTCACAGAAAAAGACTGAACTGCCAGTGTTCAAAAGGGTTTTACCACTAACCAGTTTAGCTAAATACACTGACACTAATGATGTTGCCAAAAAGCTTTGGTTTATCACTTTTACTGTTACTGCAGTGTCTGTCACTTCTGTGAAATTCTCAATTGTCAAAATAAAACATAACAAACTGAAATTTTAAAACTAATTATTTTTAAACTACTATGCTAGAAGCATGGTAGTGACAATTCCATTTTTAAAATGATTAATTACTGTTTAAGTGAAACTTGTGTGTAGTTTTCACTCTGCAAACTTGAAAGATCTGAGGTGCTGTGGGTCATAAAGAGCATAGGGGTCTGCAAATCAAATTGTTTTTTCTTTAACCTCTTTGGGCCTACAATAATGGACTGTTCTACATTTTCTTTTCTTGTTCAGGGTACTAGTCTAAATTTAAAGTTGAAAATTTTAAAAAGTGCTGAGATGGTTTGTTTTTATTCTACTCCAGTTTTTCACAAAAAAACTCATCGTTCCTTCTCCTTGGACTGAACATGAAGGCAAACAAGTTTCTCAGTTTAATTCAACTAAATGTAAGTTGCTTTTTTGTGTCCACCCAAAATAATATAGCTTTTGGAGAGTTTATCAAGCATAATTTTTTTTTCAACCTCAATTTAAATGTTAAGAACCAGGGATAAAATATGGCACAACTGATTGATTTTCAGCTGTTGTTGCCAAATGCTTTCTTTGTTTAAAAATTATTTATTAATTGAAAGTCTTGTATAATTTTCCTTTTTCTTGTTCTTGGTCTTTGTTCTTAAGTTTTTCTCCATTAATTATCTGTCTGCAAGCATTTTAATTTACACACATAACTTTGTATCTGTAACTATCAACTGTGTTGATACCAGTAATAGCTAAGTCTTCTACTTCACTTTTTTTCTTCAGCTAGTTGCATGTCCTTATATTCCAGCTGCTTTCCTCACCATAAAGCATATTGGAAATAGAATTCTGTATTCTTTTACTAGCAGCATAAATTCCTGTTGTCATCCTGCTAGCTCACTGTCACTAGTGGTGGTGGGTTTTCTAAAATTGTTTCATTTATGCCACTATTGGATTTTGTTCTTAATGCTTTTATTGAAGTTGATATATAACCAGCAGAACACAAAACAAATTGATTACAAGATGGAAAAATGTGAGCTATAAAGTACTGTTTGCATGCCCTGTTGTTTGATATGAAGGTCTGAAGTAAGTGGAGACTCTTGGAAGATTTGGAAAAGGCTAAGCTGTTAAATTTTTTATCAAGGAAATGCAGCTTGTGGATAGTTCTTCAATTGTCAGTTGTAATATGGTCACTTTAAGGGCAGAGAACATAAGGCATAATCTGAAAGCTGGTAAAGTGAGTGGAGGAAGAAAATAGTCTAATGTGTTCTTCAGCTGCATAAAAAAAAAGTTGAAGTGTATCTTCACTTTTCTCCAGTCCAGACTGAATGATTTTCTGGAAATGTGCTTTACTTGAACACAGCCTGTTTAGCTAAGCATGAACTAATTTGTTTTAAATCTGTGTCATCTAGAGACAAGAGGAGACAAAGTTTTGGGCAATGTTGATGCTACTTCACTAAGCTTTTTTTGAATAGAAACATGCTGAAATTCTTTTGATAGCTATAATGGTAGTTTTTTCTCAGTACTCCTTTCTAATCTCTTCCAAATATTGATGCAAAAGTTATGTTTGGTTGTATTATGTATTTTGATTTAATGTTGCTACATTTCAAAACTATGTACAGTGCATGTTTAAATTTAAGCTCTATGTTTTCCAGCCATAGATATAAATAACATTTCCCCGATTGGAAGACAGCTGAGCTTGCAGCCTGGGAAAAGCAATGGTGAGTAAAAGGCAATGCCTAAAATTACAGGCTTTCTCTGAACAAAAATAATGCATTTTTGATGGATATTTAATTTCAAAAGGAAATTATTTGTTTGTTAGTGTTACTGTAGAAATAGTTTTTCTTGAACTGTATGGTACTGTTAATTTTAATATCCATTTCTCATAGGAATTTAATTCTATTTTACTCCCTTGTATTTTTTCAAGTAAAAAAATAAGTCCCCTGTAGACTGTGGAGTGCATTTTTTCCAGCTCAGTGTCTACTTTTTCTGGATTAAAAAGTGAATGTGAGCTTCAGATTTATAAGTAAATTATAAGTTTTGAAAAACCTTTAATATGCTGGATTGTTTTGGGTTAGAGAATCATGATTGTTTTCTATGCCAAATAAATATCAGAAATCCTAATACATATTTTAAACTGTATTGTTTTAGATAAATAGTTACTGTTTTTCCCCAAGGTATTTTGATTTTTCTGCAACTTCATTTTGAATCCTTCCTTTCTTCAGAGACCTCTCTTCTCAGTTAACATAAAACCTCTAGAGAGGCATTCCTAAAACTCTTGGGTTTTTATCTCTGAGCCTAGTGTGCTGCATGCAGTGTTGTTAAATCAGAATCATACTTCAATTAACACTTTTCCTTATTGCAACTGTAATTTAAATACCTCAATTGCAGTGCAATTTGAAAGTGAATTTTTGTTTCTACAGCTTTAGCAAAAGGTCTCACTGTAAGCTAATTTTGTTGGTTTTATTCGTTGCAGCTGCTTGTCAGACAGTACTGTCCTTGCCAGTGGATTTTAATTTAGAGAAAATACTAGGTATGTAATGTAATACATAAATTTAATTATGAATGTCTAAATAGAAAACTTGGTTTTGTAATGTTGGCTGGGTTTGTCTTGTGAAATACTGAAAACTAAATGTATGAATGAAAGTTTTATGTATTCTAAATAGGCAGTTACTGCATGACTGGAAATTGTTCTGCCTGCAGGTGGTTGAGGGGAGACCTCATTGCCTTCTACAGTTTCCTCATGAGGGGAAGAGAAGGGGCAGGCATTTGTCTCTTTTCTCTGGTGACCACTGACAGGACCTGTGGGAATGGCCTGAAGTTTTGTCAGGGGCAGTTTAGGTTGGATATCAGAGGGTGGTTGGGCACTGGAACAGGCTCCCCAGGGAAGTGGTCACAGCACCAGCCTGACAGAATTAAAGAAGCATTTGGCCAATGCTCCCAGGGACATGGTGTGACTCTTGGGAGGTCCTGTGCAGGGCCAGGAGTTGGACTTCAGTGATCCCTTTGTGTCCCTTCCAGCTCAGGATGCTCTGTAATTCTAGATAGCCTGTTCCTCTCCCAAACACACAAACAGAGCAGTAATTTGTCTTACCAGAGCTGTTTGTACAGATGCCAGCCAGGAGTCTCAAAGCTCAACCTTGCCTTGAGTAAAGCTGAGCTGTAACTCTGGCTTTACTGTACCTGAAACCATGGTGGGTATAGAAGTTGTGGGTGGCAAAAAAGCCATGACTGCAGAGTGAGGGGCAGGAGTCCAAATTAACTGTCTGATTATAGGTGCTGCATCAAGCAATTGCTGCCACCTTCTCAGGCAAGGGGGCAGGAAGGGGCTGATCTTACAGCTCATAGGTAGAAACAGTGGGTACAGCCAGCTCAGAGCATTTTGGCTGCATGCTCCTATCCCAGTGCTGAAATTCAGAACCATGACTGTGGGCCAGCAAAACATATTTATTGCCTTTGTTTTTTGTCTTAACAAATGCTTCCATCAATACATAGTTTGGGAGTTGATGAAAAAATTCTCCTACAGGGAATATCTAACTAGAATAGAACAAGAGATAAAAAACCTAAAATAATCTGGTAAACCTGAGCATATTTTAATGGGTCTTAGTTTATGCTTTCCTACTGTAAACAGCTAACTAAGTCTAATCTGGTTTTCCTCTGGATGTATCATGAAGACCATCAAAGCATATGGGAGACCTGAAAAAGAGTCTAGGTTTGCTTGGGTAGTAAAATAATCCCTGTTTGACAGCTCAGATGTGAGCAATAATACAGTTCTGGAGAAAGATCAATAAGTATATAGAAGCCAATGTTTTTATTTTTTTAAGCTCAGACTTTAGTATTGAGGGATGATAGGCAGTAGTTCCACTTCTGCCTATCACTCTGTCTTAGTAGACAGAGGTGACTTTTGTCAGGGATGACAAGCAGTCCTTTGGGATAGGTGCCTAAATAGATTAATTAGTTGCTGTATTGGTAAATTAGATTAAATGTTTTAATTTAATTAGATTAAATGTTTTAATTCCTGTAATGGAATGTATTTTTTTTTTCTACATTCGTATTGGAAACAATTTTTCCCCCACATTTCCAGGTGAATATTTTAGAACTGATGAATTTGCAGATCAGTCTCAGGAAAATCTGAGCTCTTCATCACTCAGAAGAAAGCTGTTTTTAGAAGAGAATGGGAATGTATCTGCATGTTTGTCCCCTTCTTTGCATAGTCCATGTGGTAGTCAGCCACTTGGAGTGCTTTGTTCCATAGAATTATCTCCAGTTCGGTGCAGAAGCCCTCTGGACACATCTAGTTCAGTAAGTAGCCTGTTTTGTAGGCTGGGTCAGATGTACTTTATGGGGGAGTAGGAGTTAGACTAAAACTTGGGTTTGGTTTTTTTTTCCAGATTCTGAAAAAAAAAATGTGAACAAAAGTCCTGAAAGAATATATTACTGACTTCTTATTATTTCAAATTATTTCGTTATGCTGCTCTTCTTTTGTATTGGGAATCATGTTTTAATTTTGTTATGAAAAGGGAGTAGGAATTAAAAAATACAAAAGACATGCTGAAAGCATGTTAAAACCTTTTTTTTGCCCATAAAATGTGTCTACAAAATGTCCTGTTTAAATTCATTAATTGCTGCCTACAATAACAGTTGATATGAACATGTGATATAATTATATTTCCTTTAAATCTCATAAGCTCATTTATAGTGAAAGAAATGATTTGTGGATCTTTGAAGTGCAGTGCTAAATATGCCTTTTTCTTTCCCATTGGCCAGAGTTTTCAGATGAATAGACATTTATTAGAACACAAAACAAAATGTCCATTTTTTAAATTAAACAAGATGAACCTTATCCCCATGTGGACATAGTTAAAGTGGTTTAGGTGATGTATTTTCATCTGTGGGGTGGTTTGAAGTGCATGGAAAAAACCTACCTACACTAGGATAGTGTAGCTTAAAAAAAAAAAAGGTGACCTAGTAAAGAATTCCTACAATATATTTATAGGGCCAGAAGTGATGGGTGGGTGAGGGAGTGGGTCTCGGGTTTTTGTTGTTGTTTATTTGGAGGGGTTTTTTTTGTTTTGGTTTTTTTTTTTTTTTTTTTTTTTTGTTTAGTTGCATGATAGTCTTAAGTAAGGTCATTCTCTTTTCTTAAAGAGAAACACTTTTGTCTCTACTGCTGAATTAAGTACATTGGATTACATTAAAATATAAATAGTGGCTGACTTTTATCTGCAGTGATATAAGTAAGAAATTTAGATTAAACACTTGACTAGATACATAGCATTTATTCCCTATTTACATTTCTCATAGTTCTTAACTGTAGTGGATAAAATAGTCCTAGCTGGTATTAGGTGACAGTTTGTGTCCATTGCTCTTTTCCCCTGTGTGAAGGCATAAGGTCCAGGTGAAGAGCTGCAATTGGAATATTTAAGCTAAACTAGAGATTGTCATTGTAAAGGATTAGTCCTTCCCAGTGCTGCCATATTAAGCATTTGAGTTAAAACAATTTTATATATACATGTTAGCCATAGTATACATTATAAAAATAATGCTCTGTGGGTTTGATGATTTTTTTTTAATTTATTTTTTCCCCTTTCTCCTTTCTGAAGGGTCAGTTTTCATCAAGTCCTATTCAGGGAGGAACAAGAGCTTATAGTCTAGGAAGTATAACCAGTCCCCCATTTTCAGAGGGGTCTCCTGCACCTAATGGTTCTCCTGCTTTTTCACCAATTGCTTTTCACATAAGAAAAACACCACTCTCAGGTATGGTTTAATTGTATATGTATTACTCTATGTTGAGTAATAGATTTTTACTATAAAAACTTCAAAATTCTTACTGGAACGTTTTTCTTTTTGAGAGGCATTTCTGTGCTTGGCAGACCAGTAGTCTCCTGTATAACACATCTCGTGTTCAGCAGTGAAATATGTGAAACAATGAAGTGTATATGCTTGCAACTCATCAGCTAGGGAAAATATTTCAGAAGAAGGCACTGAGACCCAAAAAGAATGAAGAAAAGATAAAAGGGTTAATTTAATCTATTGTAGGAGAGGTTTTAAAACCACATGCCTGAATTTCGTCAGGTTACAATTCTGATTTGGCCCAGCCTGAAGCATTTTAATATCAGTGGGCAAAGACTGTTTAGCTTGAGCTTTCAAATCATGCCATCATGAAGATTATTTGAAATGAAATGACTAATGAAGAAATCACAAACACTTTATGTCCTCACTGCTCTAGGAAATGTCACTGTTTCATGCTGTGTCTGTACCTGGTAAGGCTTAATGCCTTGTTTATACATGATTTGTACAGCTTTGGCATGATTACACATATTTATACATGACTTTTACACATTTTGATTAATGGTATTTTACACCATTATATATGGATGATGTTGCACAGGTGTTTTCTCACTTGTTTGATCTTTAAACTTCATTGCTGCCAAAAAATTTAAATGCCTATAGATTGTGTATTGACATTTGTTTAGGAAAAAATGAATGGGGGACTAATGGACTATACTAAACCAGCCTTCACCCATTTCCCTTTGAATACTGTATAGTAATGACATTTAAAAATACAAGGTCTCCAATACAGCAAATGATGTCATAGAAAATAAATTTGGTGGGATAAAAACTTGCCTTTACCATATTCCATGGTAAAATGTATGTATGGGTGATGGGTTTGGTTTTGGGTTTGGTTGGGTTGGGAGGCAACAGTCAGTGAAATACTCTGTAGTTGGCTATAAATTATTCAGTGGACTGCAGGGCCTTGAGAATGATGAGTTTTTTCTATCAGACAGCAGGTGAAGTTAAACTTTGCTCATTTTTTTCAGACCAAAGAAAATTTACATTTCGTTCTCCAGATATTCCTTCTTCCTCAAGTAGGATGACACCCCCAAGTACAAGAAGTCCTTACATAGATGGTTGTTCTCCAATTAAAAATTGCTCTCCTATGAGACTTGGAGCCTGTAGAGGAACTGCCCAATATCAGACTTCTGTCATTAGAATACCAATTGCAGTTGAGAATCATGAGGATGAGGAGGACAAGGAAAACGCTTCTCCAGCAGAAGCTCGCTTCCCAGAAATGGATAATGGAATAAAGGTACATCAGGAAGACAGTGATACTTTTGGACATGGTACACATCTCGTGGTGGCAACTGTGTCTATTGCACCAGATCGCTCAGAGGGTTGTCATCAAAGGTTGTCATCATTTCAGGACATAGAAGGCTTAAAGGAAAATAATACTGTAGACATGGCTGATGCAGCTGAAGTGTCGGAGGAAAACACTTGGATGAAAGAAACAATTGGCAGTAGCAATACACCAATGACCAGCTTTATGACAGGCATTACTTTCAGTATTGAAAGCTCTCGCATGTGCATGTCACCTCTTGCAGAAAGCAGCGCAATTCCTTGTGACAACAGTAGTATTCAGGTAAAAATACAATTTTTGGTTTCTCTGTAAAACTGAGCTCAACATAACTTGGAATACATATACTAATCTGGAAGTAATTGTTATTTTCTCTTATTGGATATGGCATCCAGGCAGTATTGTGACTTTTATCCATCCCTTCCCTTCATCCCCTCTTTGGGTGGAGTTAGCCTAGCAATTATTTTTGTGTTGCTATGTACATTAGTATATTTAACTTGATCCAAACTCATGCTGTTAACAATTTGCTTTTGTTATTAACTGGTCATAGTTGGTTTGTTGGATTAAGTTCAGTTAATCAAATGCAAATCATACCAGGTATATGAGGGATTTATTTGTGTTAAATGACTACATTTTTCAAGCCCAGCTTTTTGATTTCAGGTGGACAGTGGTTACAATACACAGACTTGTGGAAACAGCATTATGGATACTGCAGGGGCTGAGAACAGTTGCAGAGAAAATGATGTGAACACTATCATGTTTCAGAATAAATCTCAGCTGCTTAGAACAAAGGTAGGATTTGTGGTTAAAAAGTGATAGGCTTCCCATCTAAAGCATCCCATTTTATTTGGTTTCAGGGACCCTGAGAGGAGAGAGTGTCAGATGATGATAAAGATGTTGATGTAGTGTCAGTTCAGAGACTATATTGAATAAATGCAGGAAAAATATCTTAAACTGGCAAAAAAATTAATGTTTAATGATAAAGCAAAGGCTGTTTTGGAGGATACTGAGGTATATGCATGAATAGTAGTAGTGAGGCTGTTCATGACTATTGTAGTCAGTCTATAATTTTTGTTTCTTCTTGCTAAGTTTTAAGCATGTGCCTGTGGAGAAGGACATTTCTGGAGAAAAATTGTCTGCTGCTAATTTTTATAAACTTAGTGTTGAGTCCTAGACCATACCTGGCATGCTGACTTGGTGGGGAACTTTCTGCATGGTTACAGTCTTTTTACAAGCCCTTTGAGGACCTATCAGAAAAACACATTACAAATGATAATACATATCTAGTAAAGCTCCCAACCCCTTAATCTTGTGACTGATAGGAAAGAGTTCTACTTCTTCCAGAGACTTGGAAGCAAGGCTAGTTTCTTTGGAGAAGAGAGCAAAGACCATCTCCTCTCAGTAATTATGGTCACGTGATGCTACAAACTTGGTCGTTTATGGTCTGCTATGTCTTGAAAGCCCTTCAAGGGGAGACAGTACTGACCATTAGTACCAGATTATAAAAAAAACCTCAAGTAAACCCATTCAGCCCTGACTTCACTTCTGGATGTGACATGCTAAAAGCCACTTCTCTGCCAGGGGAAGTGCTGACTGATGGTGTCTTACAGACCACTGATACCATATTTTAAACTGTTCGTTTAAGACCAGGACAAATATGCCCTTACAGGAACAATAGATATTTTGTCATTAACTTCTAAAAATACTCCTCTGAGTTCCTGCCCCAGTCACTCTGTTGGATATGGATTTTATGTGTGCATGTACTTGCCAGAATCATTTGTCTGGTATCAAACCCATCCTAGAGGGACTTGCCAATGTCACTCAGTTCCCACTGTTAGTCCTTGAACTGCTGGGTCCTGACTAAGCCAAATTTTGCTTTTTAGATTAGGAGTAAAGTGTGAAGGCATTAAGTGCTTCATTCAGATCTTACAACTGAGAACCCCAGGGAATAAAAAGAAAAAAGCACAGACATTGCTGGCTGAAAGATTCAAGTCAGGCTCATTCAGACATTCATGTGTCTTGAAATTAGGTAGTTTTTGCAGACAGCATGTTTCAAATATCTCTGTAGAGAAAACGTGTTACTTCATTTCTTTCTTATTTCAGAAGGGTTGAGTTGGTACTTAAGTAGTTACTATACTTGAAATTTGCAGTTAGTAATCTTGGATCTTGTTTCTTTGGGAGAATTTCTGTTATAATGGTTTTAAAACTAACTTTTTTTTATTCACCTAGGAGTGTTCTGTTTTAAGCCATAAGGACAATCAGTTGCTGGGAACAAAATCTCCTGAGAAGCAATCCTGTTTTCAAAAAGCCAAAACACATAGCACAGTATTTGGTCAAAATGCAACTTGCAACATTTCTGCTTGGAAACATAAAAATGAAAATCAGGTTCGGGGATTTCACAAAAGTGGTATGTAGTTTTCTGATGGAGAAGTTAATCTGTGGTTTCTAATAAATTTTTATACATATGAGCTCAATTACCTGGATTATATATACTATTTTGCTTTTCTAATGCAAATGTAATAAACTGTTTGATATATATTAAGGGAGTTTTTAAATAATGTGGGATTTTTTCAGGTCTTATTGAGAATTTATTAGTGTCATTAAATGATCCTTTTTGAAAATTAAAGTGTCTAGGTTTGGTACAGAGAAACAACAGTTTTTTTTTTTTCAGAATTGTATTCCTTCTGTGACTAGGGTGGATTCCATGAGCAGCCTAGGATAACTTGCATAGGAACCAGTATAACTGCAAAATCACTTACATTTTAAGATTTGTCCCTCCTAAAGGCATGAGGGACATTCTTCTTTGTGGGAAAGAAAAGTGGAAGAAGTATTAGTGTGGTTTTGGATTGCTTTTCTCCAGCCAGATATATTGTGTGGCTTCAAAAATACTACCACTAGTACCAAGAGTAAGTCACTGGACAGAAGTGAACTGTTGGGGTGTGATGAGAGCAAATGCCAAGTTTAGTTCTCTTAGAAATATAAAATGAGCTTTATGTCAAAAGAAGTTGTTTAGTAATTCTCTAAACAGCTTTTTCCTTGGCTTGACAGAGATCTGTGATGTTAGTTAGGTTTAAGTAAAATGTATTATTGGTTACCTTAAAATTAAAAGCTAGTGTTGTGGCTTTGGTAATTGTTTTAGTACTAAACTTGGAGTTGATCACCTGACACTACCAGTGTCTCTGAAGAACAACTGTGTCCAAATTGATGTTCTGGTACTCTTTGGAAGGAACCTAAGAAGGTGCCGTAAGATTCATTGGTCTCAGTACTGTCACTAAGAAAATGGTGCAGTCTTTCTTAATTCCTAGTATTATTATGTTGCTTACAGAAATTACCAAAATACTTAGTAAATCCTTAAAAAAAACCCAAACTTTTGCATGCCATTTATTACCAAAAGTATTAATACAAGCAAACCTTTGATCCTTTCAAGAAAACCAGCAGTTAAGTAAAATGATGGATTGAAGGGGGGTGTCAGAAGCCCAGAACTCGCTTTGTGTAATCAAATCAGATTTAGTTGAATTTGCTTGTATTTGTTTAAGAGAACCTTCTGGAATTTATAAATGTGAATTGGGGGAAAAAATCCATATGGCAATCTTGTGGCCCTAGTGACCAAGAGGGAAAGAAGAGCTAAGGGATACACTGGTATTTTTGGGCTCTGTTTATGTAGAGCTCTGGTAAACTTCATTAATGTAAAAGAGAAGTCCATTCTAACAAGTGTTCCAGGTGAAGCAGTCATCATCTCTTTTCATGGCAAGGATGTCCCAGGATACCGGATGGAAGTTCTGCTTTCTGTTCTATTCCACAACTCACAGAAAAGCTTGTACCAAAGCGACAGACAGTGGCTGATGAGCAGCTATTGGCACACTAGGCCTGAAACCTACTGGTCATATTGGTCAGATCTAAATTGGAAGGCAAGACAGCATTTTAAAAAAAATCTCGAAAGGGGAGGTGTGAACAGAATGTCTTGGCATTAAAATCAAATCTCTTGGCATTAAAATCAATGTGTTAGACCTGAGAGTTGTGTGTTGTTTGACTAGAACAGTTCTTGAAATACTTCCATTAATAATTTCCTAGTGAAGGCTTTATGAAAAGTGCATTTAAGAAAAAGGAAAACGTCTGTCCACATCACTTGATTGTAGATCTCACATTGCAAAAATAAATATAAAAAAGTTTACTTTAGAAATCTAATGAGCAAACATGATGTGTATTATTTTTACTTCTGTAAAAACACAGAAGTATTTAATCACTATTTCTGTAATGCATGTGGGATTGGCAGTAATGGAATCTAGTGTCCTATATTTGCTGTTTCATTGTCTTCACACAGTGGTCTACTAGAAGCTGGAAATACACTGAATTGGTAACTGTTAAGGAATGAATTTTGTTAAAAGTAGGATGAACTCAAACTTCTGGAAAACAAATTTTATAGAATACGGCCTTCAAAATGTTCTTAGCTTTAGCTTCTGAGTTTTGTCACTCAGAAGCAGATACAACTTGTCTGAGATTTAAAAGTTTTGTATGACCTTGTGTCATTTCTGTTTCTCATGATAATTTTAACAACAATCAATTAAAAGGACTATAGAAAGGATTTATTTTTGCAATTGTGATTACTAAAACAGTAATGTAAATTTAGTGAACGTTAAGCAGGGTAGCCCAAATTATGTGTTTATGAATTTTTCTGAGTTACATGTATAATTTAAAATTAGGTTTTACTTCTTAACAAAGTTTTTTAATTATTTTCACAATATGTTAAATGATTGGAGGCTTCTGAACTATTCACAAGTAAAAAAGCAATCCCTAAAGTATTTAATTTTAACCTGTATTAGTATTTTCTTCAAGCTAAGAAAAGAGTAAGAGTAGAAATGGATGAATGTGAGAAGTGATTAAGGATGCTCCCTCCTGGATTGTCTGTATTTTTTGTCCTGTTTTGTAGTCTTCAGTTAGATGGGAAATATTTATTTTATGGAAACATGCCTATTTTTTTATGATGTTTGTACAACTGATTTGTAGAAGAAACCTGCTGTGCAAATTACCATGGAAATCACTTGACCATTCTGTTTCTGTAATTGTTCTTAATGCATTGGTTGGCACACATTGCACAAACGGTCATTGTTTACATTAAATTAATATAAGTAGTTTTAACGAGAGTCCTTTAACATGTCTAATTGTAAATTGAGTAGTGAAACAGAATAAAGACATTTCTTTAATACCTATGTTGTTCAATTACTTCTTTCAGTTCTGAGGTGCTAAAGAGAATGCACAGAAGTGCTGACTTCTATCAAACTCTCAAACCTTCCTTAAAGGCTATTAACAAGAAAGTCTACAATCATTTCTTCACTGTGCAGAAATATTTATTTTCACCCACAGGACAGAGGTGTAGATATACATGATTTTAAAATTTGTTCTGCATTCATAGTCATAAAAAAGTAGCTTTAAAAAAATTCTTTACAGATTATTAAAATGTGTATTTAAAAAGTAAACAAAACCTGCTTCTAGCATTTTTTTGCCCATAGGGAAAAATATGTAAATGCAAGCATTTGTGATTTCTTCTTAACTTTTACATCCAGCTATTTTTGTAGTTTCTTTTTCTTTTTCTCTGGTTCGTCCTTGCTGCTTGCCTCTGCAGAGAGACTTGCACATGTATCATTTCCTAATATCTACAGTAAGAAAAAGACAGAAGTCAGAACATTTCAATTCAATTTTTGCTATCCTAGTATCCTAACTTGACCTTACTTGTACAGACCTTTTACAAACACTGTATCAACATCAGAAACTTCTGATTTAGATAATCATCTAGAAGAGGGTCTACCACCTTAGAACAATCAGAGGTAGAATACTCACCTGAAATAAAAGCTGGAGAAGGCAAAGAGAAGCAACAAGCCCCCTCCTGACAAAGCCAACAGGTTGTTAGCTTGCAACCATCAGCTTGCATTAATTAGCCTTACTTTGTGTCTGTTTTTAAAGTATCCCTCAGACTGGAGTCATGGCCTCAACAGAAGCTCTTGACAAGCCAGAGTTGGTGAGCACAAGCAGAGGGCAGCTCAGCGTGTGAATGCACAACAGAGCACACGGACTCCTTGCTGCCACAGTTTTTATTGTCTAGTCCCCATTTTTGAGATCACAGGGATTCACCTCGACCCAGGCTGAGGGATGGACAGATCAGATCAGACCTGCTGGGAAGCACTTGGATGTGCTGGTGGATGAAAGACTGAACATGACCCAGCCATCAGCACTCACATCCCAGAGAGCCAAATATGTCCTGGGTGGCATCCAAAGCTGCGTGAGCAGCAGGCACAGGGAGGGGATTCTGACCCCACCTGCAGTGCTGCAAGCAGCTCTGGGGTTCCAGCAGAGGAAGGACATGGACCTGTTGGAGCAAGTCCACAGGAGGGCCACAAAAATGATCAGAGGGCTGAAAGCAGCAGCTCTCCTGTGAGGGAAAGCTGATAGAGTTGGGGTTGTTCAGCCTGGAGAAGAGATTCTAGGGAGACCTTTGAGCAGCCTTCCAGGACCCAAAAGAGGAGCCTACAAGAAGGCAGAAAGGGCACTTTTCACAAGGGCATCATCCAGTGACAGGAAAGGGGGGAATGGCTTCCTCCTCCCCCCACTTGAAAAAGTGGGTTGGTTTAAGTTTAGGTTTTAGGAAAAAATGGTTTATTCTGAATGAGGCACTGGAACAGGTTTCACAGAGAAGATGTGGATGCTCCATCCCTGGAAGTCTCCAAGGCCAGGTTGGATGGGGTTTTGAGCAACTTGATGTCATGAAAGGTGTCCCTGCCTCTGGCAGGGGAATTGGAACTAGATGATTGTTAAAGGTCCTTGCAACCCAAACCATTCTATGATTCAAGCTCATACAACAGCTTGAAGACCAGAATATATTTACATGTGTTTGGAACATGATATATTTACATGATTTCTCAAGGGAAAAAAGTAATCATGTTTGACTGTATAAACAGAAAGAAGCTCTTGCTTATTTTGGGTTCTCTTTTTCCTCTGTGATAAAGGCTATTCAATTGCTGCAACCATCTGTTTACCAAGAAAGTTACATGTACCTTACTCTAGGAGCATAATTTTGTAATGTCATGCAAAATACTTTTTAGGCCTAATGTGGGAGAGCAGGTGAAACTCCCTGTGTCCCAAATGCAGAAAGAAGCTAGAACTGAAAAGTTTTGAGACCAGAGACAGTTATTAGGACATTACAGTTCTTATAACATTATCGAGAGAGAATGTTTATATTGTGGGAGTTGTAAGACACAACTGCCATTGACACTCAGGAATTATATAGAGCTGAGCCGCCCATCATATTTCACTGGAATAAAGAGAACATCCTATTGAATTTTGGCAGATTTTCAGAGGGACATTTGATTACAGAACTGTGAAATGCAATACATTACTGCAGCAAATCATCATAATTCCCAACAGTGGAAATACCCTGATGGGCCCAGAACAGAAGTTCAATTTAGAGGGTGCTATTATTTTCAACAGCCAGTGAAGGCAATCCTGTTTTTTACTGAGAGTGGATATGAAGCAATCATTACAAGCTGCTGCTAAATTATGTTTTTTCTTCTGGGTTAAATTTCAATTTTACCATGATGATTTTTTAACATTACTGAAGGATAATATGGTTCTAAGAATTTTGTGTCTTACCTTGGGTTCTACCAAGACCATCCGCATTTTCTGATGTTGGATGTTGGAATCATCTAACATGATGTTCACTTTAACTTTATCAAATACATGTAATGTTGTGTCTTCCACGGTAAGTGATGGCACCTGAAAGTTCAAATTTTGTATAAATACTCACTATTTGCAACAGCTTATGTTTTTATATAAATAAATACCTTTGTATGAAAATAGCACTGTTACATGTAAAATAAAATAAACCAAAAATTACTATAGTGAATATTCAGTCTTGTAATATGTGATACATGCATTTTCTGCAGTAACTAATCAGATAATTAGATATCAGTACTATCTATTAGAGAAACAAATTCCTGTCAGAACCGACTTAGACTTACAAAGACTAAAGTGGCATTCATTACTACTAGAGATTAATGAACTTGCATTTAGAAAAGCCTCTCTTACCCTTCTATATCCAACTAGAATAGAGTTTAGTCATTCTGCTTGCTTACCAGATCAAAAAATAAAGGCGTTTAAGAATAAACCTTAAGAATAATAGCAAGAACGTACCTCACTGTTGTACTCCAGTTTTGGTGTTGGTTTATCTTTTTCTTCAAAGAAGACTGTTCCTTCTAACCCATACTTGGGAATCAGAACCACAACTGCATTTTTTCTTACAAATAATATATATGCATCTTCATTTACTACTCCCTTGGTTTTGAAGAACAGCTGTAACAAAAACAGAACACACAAATAAGAAAAAAGCACTAGAACATTCCTTCTGAATTACAAATACCTCAGAAAAATAAAACATTCAAATACACATCTATACTTGATTACTTATTCAGCATATCCTGAAAGCAGATTTTAAAAATCTCATAAACCTCATAACATTACTGTAGGATTAAGTATTCATATTTATAAAAGCACAAAACTAAAAGAATCTTCAAGATGCCATTTTGAGTTTTTCAGAATGAGCAAAATAATGTTTTAAGCTTTTTGTCAGAAGCATCCCTCAGCCTTTATCATTTCTGTACTCTTGCTTGGTTTTGCCTTTGCAGTGTCCATAGTTCAACACAACATCTCAGAACTACTTACCTGTGTATGGAATGCCACAGAGGCTCTTTGTGCATATTGTGCCATTTTATGTCGGTAATTGAGATTTTTACACATGTCTGCCAGTTTGTGTTTATCTGTGAGTTCTGGGTAAGTACTGTCTGCTCCTATGGCCACTGCCAAAAGCCGATGCACTATGATATCAGCATACCTGCAAAGATGAGGTTAAAATCATCAGTGATGTAGTAAGACAGTTTTTCCAAATTAATAAAAAAGTTTCTGAACATATGTTTGTTTCTATGAATCTTAGATTCAAGTTTTTGTAATAATGACCATCTGCTGGCCCTCTATTAATTCAGCATCCATCTCTCTCCTGACCACAGATGCACTGCAAAGCCAGAATACTGTTATAATGTTTGCTAAGATAAATTTTCATTGTGCCAGAAAAATAAGTTGTATTTTTAGACTAAAGAATGATCTTTCACCATGGCCTTTTAAGCCAATCCTTCCCTTTCACATGAAATTAGACAAATTTAATGTAGAATAGTATTTAAGTGCCATAGATCTGCAAAGCATAATCACATTTGAACTTCATTATGTAACTTATTAGAATTTCAGCAGGGAACATTTTCATACATCTGGTACTTCAGTGAGGAACTTTTTAATATATCTGGTAAGAACTAAAATTTACCATTTGGACTTCTAGAAATTCTACAAATTATCCATAAAAATGCATAGGAATTTTAATCCATGTCCAAGAGATTTCACTTTAAATGTTTCTAAGGAGCACAATAACAGTTATTTTCTTCAAAACTCAGTGACTTCTTGGTCAGATGAAAAAACTTAACAAACTTTTCCAAGAAGTATTATTTCATTGCATGCAACTGCTGCCAATAGCAAGTTCCTAGTGTTTTCATATAGAAAATTCAGTCTCCTAAAAATTTAAACACAGTTTCTATCTCAAAAATGACTGAGCAAACTCCGCCTCAGTCTCTGGCTAAGACTACTGCTGACTGACACCAGATGTGCATTAGAGATATATTCCTATTGTATAATTTTTTAATGTTACTAAACCCTAGGAGTTGTGGACAGTAAACCTGGGAGTGTACAGGAAGATGGACTGCCACTAAGCCACTGCTGTTTCAACTGAAATCTAATGCTGAATAAAAACTTTTTTTTTTAAAATGCACAACACTGCCATTTCTTCACAAATAAATCACTTATTTCTTTTCTCTGAAACTTTTGTAAAACACAAGTACCTTCTAATAGGTGAGGTAAAGTGAGTATAAATAGGTGAGGCTAAACCATAGTGATGAAAATCATTATCCATTCCTGAGCAGAAATAAACAGCTTGCATCATGCAGCGAGTGGTCAAAATTCTCAGCAGTGTATTTAGGTAGGGGAACGTAGGAGATTCAGCTTTGTCTAATGATTCAGCTAAAGCTTTTGCTGAATCTGTCTTAATTTCCAAATTCTGAAAGAGAAAAACAGAAACAAAAAAGGTGAAGCATTACTAGCAAATATTATGAATATAAG